ATAAAGACATCCCTGCAGTGGTTCCCCTAGCAATGACTATTTTGTATATGAAAATCTAGGTTTAAAGTTGCTCTGAATTATGTGTGGCATATTATTTTTATTTTGTCTTATCCTGATAAATAGTGTCAGTTCCTTTTAGCATTTATCATACATGTGTAGCTGCCGAGGTGTTTTGTGTTAACTATAGTTCACTTGCAGCTCCTAGATTACCTAAAACGTCTGTCTGCTTTAATCAAACTTGCAATATAACAGAAACTATAGTTGCACAGCCAGTATAACATATCTAAGTTAGCATAAATTTAACTTTACATACTGTAGATAGGGTGCAAGGATAGATAAATACATCTCCTTAATGATTCCTTATTGGTGCTTATTTTAGATTGTTTGTTACTAATGTAATTTTAAATAAAGATCTAAAAATAAAAAAGAGACATACCTCGTGACATGACACGTTTTGTAGACATTCCTTTACTTTTTGATTTGTATTTTTAATGTTTGAAGTGTTCTTGGGTGTTTTGAAAGGCGTTGTACAATAAAATAAATTATTATTATTACTTATTATAACACGGCTGGTGCAGGAAATAGTGTCACTGGCGCCCCCTTTATTTCTGGAATGCAATAGTCCCATTTCCATATAAGGTATGAGACAGACGGAAAGGTCAGTCCCACCCTATTCTGCAGGCTACAGCGAGATGTACTTGCCACCTTCCGGGAGTATTATGACAGCAGGCGGATCCCTATCGCCTACGACTACAACAGAAGAGGACACAAAATAAAGTGAACGGTGGACATGGATAAACTGGACTACCAGCAGCACCTGCCTCTATTCTTTGATGGCCTCCGTGAGACAGAACATCCTTACAATGTCCTCGCAGAGCAGGGGATTTTAGACATGCTGAACCGCGGGGGGGGGACAAGATCCTCCCCGTCGTGCCAATGCTCATCATGCCGATCAGGAACGCCATGAACACCAAGAACCTGACGGTGATGTCCACCACCCTGAAAGTCCTGCAGCATATGGTGGAGTCGGTTGATGGCATGGGGCTGGCTTTGGTGCCCCACTTAAAGTACATCCTGCCCGCTTTTAACCTCTTCAAGAACAAGAAGAGGAACATCGGAGATGCTATTGAGAGGGGTCCAATGAGCATGGGAGACCTGATCGAGGAGACTCTGCGAAAACTGGAATACTACGGTGGCCCGGAGGCCTACAAACAAATTAAACTCATGGTCCCCACCTACAGCACTATACGTTGAGTCCTGACAAATAGGAGCTACTGGACTAAAACATCACTTTGCTTTGCTCTGTATGAAGTTGCTTCCAGAGTTTTTGTTCTAAATATATTTATTGACAAATCAAAAAGAATATCAGTGTTGTATTGATTTATTTACATAATTTTCTTGTGATTTATTTCAAGCTGTAAGCTACATACCTTGTTGTATGGAGGGAAAATTCTTTGCATACACTATTCTGACACCTTTAAGGTTATATTTAATTTATTTAATTTAATATGTCATTCCTGTCCTATCCAACTGCGGTAAAGCTAGCCGCCTCTTTGAAAATAACAGTAAAGCCAGCCCGCTTTCGATTTTCACATGCGCGACAGCTCAAGACATTATGGTACCGCCATTTACGTGCT